ATGGACCGTAGAATGCGCGTCTCTTCGGCGCTCTTAAGCTTCATCGCCACATTGTCTGCGATAGCTGCCTTCGTGCCTGGAGCTGATGGTAAGAATTTGTCGCCATTCAGGGATGTAAAACTTCGGTACAGTAGTATAATTAATATTTAAGAATTCACCACCGAAATCAATAACTGGTTAATTTTATAGCTATAACAAATGATCATTAAATCTCATTATTTATTTGAAACGAAATATGACGAAGTGATTAGGGACAAAAGGAAAGGCAAAGGCAATTAAGGGGAAAAATGGGCAAGAAACACAAACTGAATGGGGAAGGAAAACTAGACGCAATAACACCTGCGGACCAGCAATCTAATCAACCGTTAATTTCGATATTAGAGTCTTTTTAACCGCTTGGATCGACCGCTCAATCGAATCGAGGTCCGCACTTTTTTAATGGAATCTTGCTGTTGGCCTGAAGTGCCTTCATAGCTCAGCTCAGTTTTTGGCAAGATTAGGAAGCCTCGGCTGGAAGGGGCTTTCCCCGCGTAGCACAAACGTGCGTCTCTGTGAGACTTGGACCTCAGCTTGGGCCGCCGCGGGTCGTCAATCGCTTGAAGGGCAGGGCAAAATCTAACTGGAGTGAGCGAAGTGCGAAGTTACCACCCGCTTTCCTCGGTTAAGACTGTTTTTACCCTAACCTGACTTTGCTTTGCCGCGAGAGCAAGTTTAATTTGTTGTTAGCTGACTACAGATTCAAACGGCAGTCATAGGAACGAGTGTCAAAGATTACTTTAATTGATTGTATTTACGTTTCAAGTTATGATAAATTAATTTTAATAATAATAATAGTCACTATTATTGTCGACCATTGAATAGTGGGTAATTATTAGATCTAGCAACATAAAAAAATCAAGTAATAGTCTTAACTGTTTTGAACCAATTTAACATAAATGTTATTGAATTATAATGACAATAGCAGTTGACACTAACACCATTACTCCGACACAGTAAATTACTTTTAATAATTATGTCTAATGTCAGAGCCATTGCTCCGATATATGTTAATTGTGTTTTATGATTTTTAAGTGTGTATAGTGTAGTATGTTTTAGCTTACAAATGTAACTGTAGGAATACTAGAAATCAAATATATATATAAATAAGCTTTAAAACATTACGTTTAAATTCGAATATATGTGTCGGAGTAATGGCGCTGGTATCGGCTGCCATTGTCATTATAATTTAATAACATCAAAGTCAAATTAGTTCAAAAACGTTGGTTTATTTTATTTGCCAATATTAATAGATCTACAAATTAACTACTATTATTACTTAGTCTTTATTATTAATGTTGAAGCAATGGTGTTAGTGCCAGCACCATTGCTCCGACATATGTAATCCTTCATTAACTTACGAAATTAAAAGCTAATGTTGATGTCATGTCTTTATAGTAAAGGATAATTTTAAACTATACCACCAAAGTTATACGAGCAAGATGCCATAAGTTGATTAAAGTATGAAGTGCAAAGGAACTCCAAAGTCGTTACGTTGTACAGAAGTGCAGGGCTGTATGACATTATTAACCACAATTTGACATTCCGCTTCTTACTTGAACTGCCATTGCAAACTTGTTTAATTATTACACTCTTTGACATACGTTTTATTAAAGCGTTTAATGCAAGAAGGAATTCAGGAAAATATCTCTTACATTTTGTTGATTATGGGGCATTATTATAAGATTCGATTATGTAAAGCCTTCCTAAAATTAGATACTTATTTTATATATTAAGTAATAGGAATACAAACAATGCAGAAGAGCGTGTCGGCATAGAGGCTTGAGCGTGCGACTACCGGAGCGGTGCACCAATGGACTTTTCTTTCTGTGTGCGCATTTAACATTTGCGCAACGCTGAAGGAAACCCGTCTTGAAAACCTACCTAAGACCTAAGACCCAAAAACGTCGACGGCGCGTCAGGCAGTTTTATCGCAAAATAGACTCTGATGCTGGCATCTGAGGCAAAACCAATTTGTGAAAAACACTGATTGTTTGTAAAAGCAATAGTAAGATTTTAATCAGCTCTTGCTTAAAGTAAAAAGGGAGTACTCGGCAAAAAGTCAATTTAAAACCTTGCAAAATAGCAAATACTGTCCCAAAACATACATTTATTTTTACAGGGCCAGTGTCAAGGCAGGATGCTCTGGAAGGCGGGAACACCACGTTGTATTGTGACTCAACTCCAGATACGTCTGATGATGAATTGATGCTCCTTGTCTGGTATAAGGACAATGCGCCAATTTACAGGTGAGTCTTGAAGAACTGTCATAATGACAAGTCTTTCTTTCGCATCAATGTTCGTAGCAAAGAAAAAATCTAAATCATTTATTTATATTAATAATAAAACATCTATAAGAAATGCTTATAAATTTACAATTACCGCCAGATTAGAACCATCCGGACATCAACGTAGAACGGACGAGAAGAACTGAACTCTCCATCACTCTTAAATAATCATGTTTATGTCAAATGTTTGGAGTCGTTTTATCATGCTCCTCATCACATCTTAAAGAATCATCATTACCTTTTCAGCTTTGACGCCCGTACAGGCACTAAGTGGTCGAGTACCTCCTTCAACACCAGCAACAGGCTGCAGGCGGATATACATCAGCAGCCCACTAGCCTCGTGATAACTGACTTGAGGGGGGATGACCAGGCACTCTACCATTGCCGTGTGGACTTCTTACTAGCGCCTACCAGAAATGTTGGCGTAAATTTAACTGTTATTGGTAAGTTTTATCGTTATTTTATATTCGTAGGTGTTAATACAGAATGAATTGGTCTGGTATAGGCCGCTCTGTTACATCGGAGAGTAATTTTATCGTGTACAAAAACGCATCGACATGGAAAGTGTAGATTCACTTTGACACTTAGAATTTTTATTTAACAGATTATTGACAATCCACAGCTTTTTTTAAAGATATATTTACAATGTTCAAAATAAAAAATATAGCCAAAACAGATTGCACCATAATATATACCAAGAACTACTAAAATATTATGTACTAACCAAGTCAATTTATAATAAGGCTTTATAAGGAAATAGCAAAAAGGTTAGTCGACATCACAGGAGACCGAAGACCTGGCAGCTACCTCAGACAAAGATTAAATCTAACAATTCAAAAGGGAAACGCTGCCAGTATCTTCGATACCTTGCCTAAAGGGACTCCTTTTAATAATATATTTTAGTTATTATGTTATAGGGTTAGTTATTGTTTTTCTGTTCATTATTTATAAATTGTTGTAATATATTAAATTTATGAAATGTGTTTCTATTATATATTTATAATAATAATATAGCCTTAATATTCCGAAACTCTATGATCTGTGATCTTTAATATATTTTCACTACAATATATCTCGAAGCTCGGTGTCGCTCTTGGCAAAGGCCTCCTCTAACCCTTTTCACTGTTCTCTATCTTTTTCGACTCTTCTACAGTTGTAGCCCGCTGTTAATATGAGTTCGTCCTCCCATCTTTTGCGTTGTCGGCCCCTTCTTCGTTTTCCGTCTTTAGGGTACCGTTCCGTCAATATTATGCTTCATTTTTCATGGGAGCTCCGTAGCATATACAACGAAAATTCAAACGCAAATCCACTCGATTCGTTTATTATGTGAAAAGACACGTTTGGATATAAGTCAAGGCTCGCGTAATATATAGATTAAATATACGTGAAAGTTGTTCGAGCATAGTTTATACCAAGTTGGTTTCAGTTTCAGTCAGTCAAGACAGTTTACTAAAATCATATTACCACAAAATAATATAAATTATCATATTTATTAATTAAAATACAGACCTTAAACGTTTTTATTATGAACCAAAAATATTTGTTACTATAGACACATAGTCTTACTTATTTTATTTTGTTCCAAAAACAGCAAACTTTTAGTGTGCTTGAACAAACAGAATGCTTGAGAAACAAGAGAATCCGTCGTGTAATGTAAGTTTAGGTATTTTGGGCTAGTCATCAGAATTAATGTAAATATCACCTACCAGCTATAAACTTAAGTAAAGTGCCATTATTATCTGGCGCCTTGGAACTTGTTTCATATTAACCTCATTTTCCCTTTTAATAGTTTCGTTTACATACCAACTTGATTGCTTTAGATTTATTGTTTAATCTAAAAACGTATAGTGTAAAGTAGTAAGTTTTATCTAAATGGACTGGTCACGTGGCCAGGTGGACCTAACGACAGGACCGTACAAAGACAGGAGGCTGATCATCTGCTTGCCTATTAGTTTAACAAATGATCATGAAACAGATACAGAAATTAAAAAAAAAAATTTTGGTCCCTACGCCACTGATTTATTTATTTTAAAGGCAATATACGTGATTTTGACAGACAGGGCATGCTGCGGGCACGAGGCACAAAATCGTGACACCGGGCATGTGCGAAATAGACAGATGAAATTGTGATGACAGCAGGGAAAAGTTGAAGCTATAGATACCAAAAATTTATAATTGTGCCTTGGAGGAGGCTTTCACCTCCATATAAATATAAATACAAAGTTTTATTTTTATTACCTACTTTTAATGTCTTGTGTCATATATGTGTCTTGTATTTTTATAAAGACATATTTTAGTTTCATTATATTTTTTATTCACCGCTATTGCATAAAAGGCAGACAAAATTATTACAAGACGCTGAAATTTAACTGACGTATGGACTCACTATAACTGAAATTTTATATACTTCCCATACAAACATCATTGCACAAATATTTATAATTTCCGTTACTTAATTTATGCTTATATGGAATTCAAACTTCTTAACCACCTCGGTAGTAGAAATTATTCTCGCGTTTGTAATTTCAGCACGCTTAAGTTGCACCGGAGATTGCGGAACTTCTCAAGTAGACAGAATAAAGCAGACAATTTATAGACTCGCAGTATTAAGGAATATAGTTATTAGGAAAAAAATCTTGGTCTAATTTTTGTATCTGGCAATCAGATCTTGATATTTCTATGCCCTTCGAATTAAGACGTGTTGCCAGTATACTTACGATGATATTCTTTACCGTATGACTGTTTAGTATGTTCATAGAGAGACTGATGCAACCGTGATTGAAACGGTTCAGCACTGCGATTCTGTAACTCACTTTTCGAACTCACACAGCGGTTTTCGCATCGGCGGTCGCTCTCAAATCAGTCGTGAAGCAGTCATTTTATGATTTGGCATTCTAATAAACAATAAACTACAAGCTCCCACCTTTTCAGAATGCCAAATCATAAAATGACTGCTTCACGACTGATTTGAGAGCGACCGCCGATGCGAAAACCGCTGTTTGAATTCGAAAAGTGAGTTACAGAATCGCAGGGCTGGTTTGAGACCCTAACGTCTATACCGCGTTGAATACACCGTCTGATCACCGAAGTTAGCCAACGAGCGCGGCAGTACTTGTATGGGTGACCGCCTGGAAACACAGCTTGATTTTGGCTTTATTTTCAAAATTACGATTGCAGGAGGCGTTGCTTTAATTGACCTAATTTTTCAGGTACATTAACCAATTATAGTTTAACATCCATTTGCTCTAGTTAAATTTTGAAAATTGCCTGCAATTGAATCTAAGAAACGTCCAGTAGGTACTCGGTTATATATATATATTCTATAAACAAATGCTATATAGAATACTATTTTTTTGATGAGTCACGCAATTCAATATCGATATTTTAAAATTGAACACTCTGATACCAGGATATCATGCGTTCCATTGTGGGCAAAACGATAATGTCGGCTTCTTCGAAGTACCTCATATAAAGAAAGTAGAAACGTCTGTTTAAGAGCTCCTATTTCACTTCAAATGTCTTCTGATATTTCCCACTTTGAAACTATATCTAAACCATGCATTACGTAAATAAAAATTCTCGCTTAGTACTTCATACAAAATAGACCTTCTACAAAATTCAGCGGGCTGTGAACCCCGAGGGAACACCTTGCCAATTATATTCCAAATGGGTCAAGACCAAACTGCTTCCTACAATTTACAATTGTTTTAAATTGCGAGGGTTGAACAAAACTTGGAAAGAGTGTCCTGAATCTTAAGAAGATAAATGTTGTTTTAACTCTGTATTATTGACGGCGTTTTTAGGAATATGTTCATAGGAACACCAATGGCAGACACAAATACAACCTTTTTAGGTCTGGGCTTCAGATTTCTGTATCTGTTCCGTGTTCTGCGCTGTGGAACAGTCTGCTTTTCAGCATAATGCTGATCCAGTTACAACCATAACACACGCATTACACACTTAAAACGTACCTAGTTCTTTAAAAGAAAAAGGAATTGTTATTTTTCATTCTTTTATTATTATAATTTTGTGTGTTTGTTTCGTTAGTAATAAATGTTGTATCTATGTCTATAATAGACAAGTAGGTGATCTAGGTTTCGTCACAATGTTTTCCTTCAACGTACGAGCGAATGTCAAATGTGCACATAGACAGAAAGTCCATTGGTGCACAGCTGGGGAAAGAATCTACGACCCTAAAGATAAGAGTCGCACGTTGAAAAAACAAGGCTTACACTGCACAGGAATTCAGGCACATTATTGCATTATGTGTGTTTGTCTGTATGTCCTGAGAAACACTTAAGAATTCCGAGGGACCAAAACATAAATTATGCTATACAATAGTCTTGTGCGGAGCATATTAGATTATGGTACAGTCGTGGAGGCCGCATTATGCGACTCATATGTTACGACTGGAGCGTTTACCAAAAAGGTTCCTATGGCATCTGCTTTTCTCCAGTGGCATCTCGAAAAAAAAGTTGCCTACATATGAAACCAGGCTAGCGCACTTCAAGATGTTGTCACTGGAGAATCGCAGAAAATTAATTGATGTATCTTTTGCCATTAAGATACTTAAAAATCAGCTAGATTGCCCCAACCTTTTAACAAAATTTAAATTTCGTATACCCAGTAGATATCCCAGACATCCCATCATTCCATTTATCCCTCATTTCCGGGGAACGCGTTTTGGCCGAAATTCACCAAGTCCAGATTCAGCATGATGTTAAACGAGCTGGATTTGGACATCCATAGTTGCTCACCTCACACTTTGAGAGCGATTTTCGTTTAATTTTTATTTAAATTGTATTATTGTTTTGCTTAATTAATTTTATTACTTCTTGTATGCTATGTTTGCCTGTAAGTGCTTGACACATTAAAAATTGTATTTTATTTTTCTTTTAACAATGTATCAGTGTGCCAAGCTTTGGCAAGCTTTTATAAATAAATAAATAAATGTCTGAATGACTTAATATATCGTTAAAACATAAATGGGAATATTCAAAAACACTGCATAAAATCCGGGTTTATATGAATAATTATATAAAATAAGTGGCTCGTATACCTCTCGACACATTAATTACCAACAAAATGCGATAAAATTTGTATCTTCAATCTTTATGCTAAAACTTCGCTATATTCCGCATTATTCAAATTCCGTGCAAAGTTATTTTAATATTTGAAAACTGGTTAATAAATACAATTTATTTATTTATTTTTAGAAGAAGATTAGAAATGTTGGCTTCAGCGTGCGACTCTCATACCTGAGGTCGTAGGTTCGATCCCCGGCTGTGCACCAATGGAATTTCTTTCTATGTGCACATTAACCCCTTGCTCGGTGAAGGAAAACATCGTGAGGAAACCGACATGTCTTAGACCCAAAAAGTCGAAGGCGTGTGTCAGGCACTGGAGGCTGATCACCTACTTGCCTATTAGATTTAAAAATGAA